TCCGTGACGACCTTGCGCTGGTTCCGCGGTTTGGTGCGCAGCCGCAGCGGCCACCGCGTCTGTACTCACAGGTGAAGGTCTCTTCTGATCCGGATGACCCCCCCCCCAGACTTCCTTGGGGTGTCCCCCGGCCTCCCGTTCCCCTTCCGCTCTCCTGACCTGGCATCGACCCCCTCCGGAACCTCCTCTGGAGCTTCCCACTTCTCCACGCCCCTCCTAGAGGTCCAACCGTCTGCTCCCGGCTTGCGCCTTCTCCTCCCGGCTCCCAAAGCCGGTTCCCCCTCCCCCTCCGTCTCGCGCGTGCTCCCCGCCGGTCGCTGTTTTCCCAGGCTTGGGCCTCCGGTCGTGGGATTCAGGCTCCTTTTCGCCTCTCCTCTCGCCCGTGTTTGCAGCCTCCTTTAGGATTTTGGAGTAGCGGGGCAGCTTTGCGCTCGTTGGTGGGCACGTCCCGCTTCGTTCCCCCTACTCTTGGTTTTGCAGTGTCCTTAGCTTTAGATGCATGGTTGTACATTGTTTATAGTGAATCTTTTTTTCACATTCGATGCTCTCACCCGACTAGATTGGAACTCTGGGGGAGGTCAGAAATTTTTTATTTCGCGTCGGCATAGGTTTTTTGTTTTTTGTTTTTTTTTAAATCAAATGTAGCCTTATTTACATAGAAGAGGCTTCATAAATGAGCTTCATAATAAAGTTTCAGTTTTTCAAGCTGGAGGGAAAGGAGTGAGTTGGGACGGTTACAGTGACAAAAAATCTGAGAGAATATAGTTAATTTCAAAAGCCTTTGACCCCTGGCCTTGGAGAATCTTTGATCCTCCTCTGACTGGGACTAGGTAGAGCCACTGTCAGAGAGAAGAGCATTTATATCTAAAGGGAGGAAAGTTCCTGGGTCTCATAGTCTTGAGGAAACCACTGGTTTAATGCCAGTGCAGGAAGTGACTTGTCTTAAGTTACACAGGGACTTACAGCCCGAGCTGGAACTGTTAACTGCCTGTTTACTTTTGGCCCTCAATATTTGTCGAGCAAATCAACGTCCAAACTCTCTGTGTATACGTGCTGTGCAGTGGGAGCGCCTAAGGGCCAGACTGTGGGAATGAATGCTCCTGCTACTGGTTCATTTGTGCTCGGTTCCCTGGGTCCTGGAAGTTCCTAACCCAAGGCTGCCAGTTATTGATAAGAGGTAGGATATTGGAAATAGACCCTTTGACTGGGCAGGTGCTTGTCTGGGCTGCTCTTGTGCCTGCGGTTTGGTAGTGATTTCCTTACATGACTCCCCACCTCCACCCCCAATTTCTGAGGACAGAATGAAGCATAATTTGCAGGATCATCCTGGCACACGTGATAGTGTCTGGCGTGTTGTAGGTGGTAAGTAAATGCTTAACTGATGACACCAAACCGAAGAGGGTGGGCCCACTGGACCTTGCAGCAGAGCCAAACACTGGACACCAAGTTTTACAGTAGAGAAATTAGAGCTGTTTATTGGCAGGGCGCCAAGCCAGGAGAATGGGAAGCTATTGCTTAAAACTTGAACTCCCGGGTGGTTTTTAATCAAGGGTCTTTAAAGGCAGAAATTGAGGGTTAGGGGTCACGAGTCGGGTGAAGCTGATTGGTTGATTCTTGAGCTTTCCTTAGTCTGACTAATTTAGTTCCAGCCTTCATCTTGTCTGAAGCCTTTTTAACTTTCTGAACTAACAGGGTTGAGGAACCAAGATTCTGCAAAGTATCTCATGATTATGTGTTAGTGATGTTATCTTTAAAGCAAAAGGCAGAAACTAAACATTTTGTGACCATTGTTATTGTTTAAGCTGTCATTTCTATATGCTTAACTAGCTACATTTTTCTATGATCTCAAGCAAAATGTACTTTTAAACATTTTTCCTGGAACTTGCTTTACAGGCAAGCTTCCAGGACATAATTAACATAATTTCTTAATCTTTGACTATGAGCTACATGGCAACCAAAGCAATTGAAACATTTAGTTAAAACTGGTACAGGTATCCCTATACTCTACGAGGTAATACCTAAACATGTTTACTGTTAACTGTCAGTTTCACTGAAGGAGGCTGCTGAAAAGAATTCAGAACCCGACAACAGTTCTTTACTAGCATTGTATTTTTAATGGTGTTAGCACATTCTGTGTATTTCCTGATAAGCTCAAGGACCGAATTTACGAAATGTGTACATCAGTGGTAGAGAAAGAACAGATACCTCTCTTATACTCATATTTATTATTCCCTGGGAAGATAGAGGTTTTTCTTGACTCCCTGTGGAAGCTTTGCTATGCTTCCCAGCTTGCCATCCTATATTAATACTTAGTTTCTTTCTCCTTTCTTCTGACTTTTTCGTACTGGATGTCTAAATTAAAGAATTACGTTATTAGTATCAGTAACTACCCCAAACTGCACAGTACAATAATCTTTAAAAAATGTTATAAAAAGTGGACCAGTTGTACCAGTCATGTCTTATGTATTGGTTGTGTATTCTGAATTTGATCATGGTTACAGAAATTTGAACTTTTTTGCCTTTGTCTGCCCTTTGATGAGTGTTTGTTTTGGGCTTATTAAGAAGCAGTTGTTACTTGGAAATGGCCAACACCACATATGAACTGACTTCTAAATGATGATGCGTTACCCAGTCTTTTTGTCTTCTTTTTTGGAGTATACCTGGGACTTTTTGTTGCCTTTACATTACCATCCTTGAAGGAGTTTTCCTCTTTGATAAGGAAGTAACTTTTATAGCTCAAGTACAGAGAGCACTAACTAGAGGAACCAGGATATTGTGAATGAGTCAGTTGTAACCAGGTAATCCTGAATTGCAGTTCCTAGAACAAAATAGTAATGTAATTATAGCACATCTCACTTTTGAAGCATCTTCTATAGGACTCTTTGGACATATTATCTCATTTAATTCTCAATAACCCATAAAATAACTCATAATGTCTTGTCATAGTGGTAAAAAAAAAAGAGACTTAGAGACGTTTAGTATCTTGACCAGAATCATAGTAAAAGGTAAAGTGGGCTTCAAACTCAGAACCACCAGATTCCAAAGGCAATATTCTTTCCATCTGTTAAATTGGTTCTTTTTGGATTCAGTGCTTTTAAAATGATCTCAGTTCACATTTCAGATAATTTGAATTATTGAATATGGTTTATATTTTAAAACTTCTCATAGGTTTTCTTGGCATGTGAGTACTGTGGCTATTTTACAACTAGCCTGCTAGCATTTTATTCTCTAGAGACCAAAAGTAAGACTTAGACTTCATCTGATGAGTTTTAGTTTATGTATTAGAGATCCTGCTCGAGAATATAATAGTGAAAAGTTGAGGTACGTTATGAAGAGGTGTGGAATTCAGTAAGGTAAGGCAAAGAGCCATTCCTGTGCCTTCAGAGTCTAATTGGTTATGCATTCTGGGAAGGTTTTTGGTTTGATATTTTATTATTATTTTGCGTCTAGAGTATATATGTTTAAATTTTGACCCTCAAGAGCATCTTAACTTACTGTCTTCCAAGCCATTTGAGAAGCAGCCTGATGTACATCTGTCTTCTAGAATGTTTTGGGCAAATTTTAGGTAGATAGTGAGGAAATAATAGTGGTAATAGTAGTAATAATTGCTATGGTAGCAACTACCATTTATTGAGTTTTAGTGACTGTCAGGCAGTATGCCAAGCACTTACAAATTATTTCACTCAGTTTTCCAAACATCCTGTTAAGTAGATGTTGATATTCTCCTTTTACAGATCAAGAAACTAAGGCTTGGAAAAATTAAGTAACTTGCTCAAGGTAATTTATAAGTGATCGAGCCAGGATTTAAATGCACGCCTTTTGACTCCAAAGCTGTATGTACTCTGAAGCATTAGTATCTAGAATTGAAAAAAGCATATTATCAAAGTTATACTTTATAATTTTTGGTTGCTAAAGATATACTAAATCCGCCCCTCCCCCGACCCCAGTTTAAAACAAAAACAAAGAATGTTGAAGGGTGGATTAAGTAGGTGTTAAGTAGGTGGATTTCATCTAGGGTTTTTAAAACATATTTGAGGATAATATAAATTATTGCTTACATGTTCACATATCACAATAATGCATATACATAGATTGAAAAGCCAAACAATACTTTAAACCTCAGCATAAAAATTATCAGTCTCTTGCCCATTCCCTTTCCATTAACTAGAGACAACCATTTTCACCTTTTTTAGCTGCTTTTTGAAGAGTATTTTTATATTTCAATATATAATATTGCTATTGATTTAGATGTAATCTTTAACTTCCCATCATATATGACTTTTGCCACCTTGTAAACACTTTTCAATCTACTAGAAACTTTTAGACGAAGTCAGTACTCATTTTTCTTCCTGGAGCCTGTGTCCCGCACCAATCTGGGCTGGTTTCTTTGCACAGCAGTATTTCTGGGACCTTCCTTCATCTGTGTCGGCATTTTCTTTCTCTTGGTCACTTATTGGATCCCCTAGTTCCTCTTGGCTTATTCTCTCATTTTGGTGGAATACATTCCTTACTAGGTCCTGGAATTTACGGACAGTAAATCATTCAGCATGTGTGTAAATATCTTTATTTTATCTACTTGATTGATAATTTGGGTATGGAATTCTGGCTTGGAAATAAATTTCTCTCAGCATTTTGAACATAGCAATCCATTAGCTTCCAACCCTGTTGATAAAGATGCACTTTCCTTTCTTTCTCGATCCTTTATATATGACCTCTTCTTTTGCTCTGGGAAGTTTTTAGGTTCTATTCTTTATTGCTAGAGTTCTGAAATTTCATTCATATACCTAACCAAAGATCTTTTTAAATTCATCCTGCTGGACCCTCACTGAAGCATTTGTGTCTAAAAATCTGTCCTGTTCTGGGAAATGTTGTATAGTATTTCTTCTCCACTGTTTTCTCTGGTTTATATCTGAAACTTTCCTATAAGCAGACAATTTTATATTCCAGGCTCATCTGCTAATTTTTTTCACCTCTTAGATTTTTCTTTGATAGATATTTCCTCTATCTTGATCTTTACAATGCTCCTATTGAATTTTAAATTTTGGCTATCATTTTTACCTGAGCTCTTGTTTTCTGGATCCAGTATTGTATATCATTTCTCTGATAATAGTATTTTTTTGAAGTCATCTTTTGCTCCCTACATTGTCTCTGATTCCTGTGAGGTTTTGTTTTTAGGTTTTTAAATTTTTTTATTTCTTTAATCTCTTTTATCTCTAGACTTTCCTCAAATGCCTGATGATACATGCTATGTGTTTCTATTTAAGAGAGTTACTGAAGAACTGAAAGTGTGTGTTTAAAGTTTATCTCTTGGTTAGCTTCCCTGTAGGATGCAGAGACTTTTTATTTACTTTAGAACTTTTACAATGTTGTTAGCATCTCATCCACTTTTGTCTCTGCTGCCATTCTCTTTGTCTTTGTGGACTTACACTTTGTTTCCCCTTAACTCTCATTTTAGTTCCATTTTGGGAGGAAGTAAGAATTAGCTGCTTGTGCTCTTTATAATCCATTATTAATGTTGGAAATAGCAAATCTTGACATTATTGGTGTATCTTTTGTCCTGGATCCTTATTTTAGTGTCACTGTGTGTCTTCTGACTTTGAAAGTAACTCTCCTGTGAGTTGCATTGTTCAGTGAAAAGAAATATAGATTTTCCAGAAATGTGTAATATTTCTATATAATATAGAAGAGGAAGTGGAAAGATGGATGTTTAAAGTCTGCCTTTTTTGTTTTTCCCCTCTGAGCACTGGTCCTAGATAACCTCAAGGCAGGGTGGGGTAGCAGAATCCTAGAGCAGGAATTGGTCTAGGCTGATTAGTGTGGTATGAATGTTAGGTGGTGGCATGCAAGTGCTCTGTAAGGCTGAGGGTAAGTAGGCTGAGTGACAGTCAGTGTCCCCTGCTCCTCTGCTTTGTGGTCAGATATCAGGATACATTGGAGGAGCCTGGCAGGGTGGGGTAGCAAACTCTAGACAGAGGGACAAACTCTAGACAGAGGTAAGATTGCTCTTGCTACCAAAGGCTGAGTCTAATAAGGCAATATGCTCTATGTGATGGTGGTGATACCAGTGTGATGCCCAACAGAAGAGGCTAGTAGACACAGACAAAAGACACCTCTCTTTAAAGGAGATAAAGAACTTATTTTCCTGTACTCAGATTACTGCTCACCTTCCAGTCTCTGCTAGAGGATGGAATGCCCTGGCCTCAGCCCCCCAATAAGATGCTGTGTGGCTGCTGATATTGCCTGATCTGAGTGAAGACCTCACAAGGTGCTTTAGGAAGCTCCCATTATGGGATTTTAATATTCTCTTGACTTTTTCTGATTTTTCTGGGGACTGGCTTATAATTGCCTGTCCAGCAAGTGCAGGCAACCAAATTTGGTGCATCCCTGAGGTTCAGGGGAGTCATTTCACCTCAGCAGCCTGTTTTAGGTGAGTTTGAAGCCCGTTCCTACAGTCTCTGTGCTGCCTAAGTTTCAGTACACTTGAGTCCTTAACTCGGCCATCTCTACTTTTTGTCTTAAAAATAAATCCTAACATCTTGAACAGTAAACACAGCAAATATCTCTTAATATTAACACAATAACCATATGAATTAAGTGAGCGGAAGATATTACACAAATCAAAGTATTTCAACTTTCTTTTTTTTAACCAACTCTTTCTCCTTTACCCTTTACCCCCAGTTGTGTGAAATTGAACTAACATGGGAAGGTATATGTTTTTTCTAACATATTCTATAGTCACGTATCCAGTTTAATCATTATTTTATACTTGGGATACCTTTTAGTCTCAATTGGTTCTGATATATTATAATTATTATTTTCACGTCACAGTTTGGCCATTGGATGCCCTTTTTTCAACTGGCTGACTTCTTTATTGTTTCTAAAGGCATTCATAAAAGCATTGTTGTGTTTGACAATAATACATCTTAGGCTTTTCTTGAGGTATTCTGTCCCTGAATTGTAACCAGCTGATTTTAAAGGAGCAGTAGCTCCTTTTAGAGGAGGCCTGTACTGAAGACAAAAATCTGGGCACTAGATTACATGTAAGATTGTTCCTTATAATGACTAAGGTAGACAGAATGATACCAGATAAGAAGTTACTGAGTCCCTAGAAGAATTACCCTTTAAAAAGTCATAGGTTTCGGTTGCTAATTGTAATTTAAATTTCTTTCTCCCTTGTTATAATTCAATTTTCCCTTTCTCTAATAGTTTTGAACTATTTGATATAGGCACATCTGAGATATGTTTATAATGTAGTCCTCTAGATGAAGAAATTTTTTTTCCTTTTGGATCTTGACTGAAGTGGCCTGAAATTGATTCTCAGGTCAGCTGTGCAGTTTCCTCTTGTTGACATCCCTTGAGCCTCAGTTACCTAAAAAGTTAAAACTCAGCCTTGCTTCAAGGAAACACCAAAGAAAACATAGGCACACTATCTGGCAACTCAGATGTTGATCCAAATAATAGGTAGTAATCAGTTAACAGGAAATATGTAGGTCCTTAAAGTTTTTTTTTTTTTTTTTTTTAAACTCTTTTTTTAACTCTATTTTCTTGGGTGCTAGTATTGTTAACCTTACTGGCACATTGTTGGACTCAGGTTCTTAATGACCTTTGAATAAATGAAGCTATTCTTAATCTCAGTTTACACTGGCCTGACATTTTGGCTATTATGAATGATAGCAGATGTAGCCAAATTAATAGTGAGTCATTAAGAGGTTTTAAAAATTTACCACAAATACTCAGGAAATTCCTTTCTGTTGCTCCACATCTTTTTACTATTCACTTGGTTTCACAACCACCAGCAAAGAACTGTCTGACATTTCAGTCAGGTTTTATATTTATGTTATAGCTAATAGCTCTTACTACCTATAAGTAATATTTGGCCTATTCCCAGATATGTTCTTTTTCACATGATATAAACTGAAAATTCATGTTATGACTAGAAATTTTAGTATATCTGGGATTTGGCATGAATGGTATATGGCATATACCTTCCAGTTTTATGTTCTAGAATAACTCATCACTGTAGAGATGTGATACTATCTGTAGTATTCCATTGCCTGTCTTTTTAATTTGTAAGTTTAACCTGTTTCTTCCACTAGAGTGTAAACTGAATGAAAGTAGGGAGCTTGGCTTGGTTACTGCTGTATCCTTAGTGCTTACTACAAGGCTGGGCACACAATATATGCTCAAAGAATATTTGTTGAATGAAAATATGATGGTATTATTTCTCTGCCTCAAATCCTTTTAGAAGTCAATGATTGTTTTAGGATGGTTTAGGCTATAAATTGCAGGAAACTAGTTTAACCCAGTATAAATAATTTAAAAAGCTATCATTTTCTTAACAAAAAGCCTTGGATTAGAGTTGGTTTTTCAATTGGTTGAGTCATTGGCTCAGCAGAGTTAGCTTTGCTATCTCTATAGTCTGCTGCCCTCAGGCTGGTTCTCTCCTAATCAGAAAGTGGCTGCCAGCAGCAGTGAGCAGCATGCGCTTCCACTAGAAGTAGTAGAGACTGACTTTCTGGATCTAGTTCATCTGGGACTGTATGTTTGAGCACCTAAATGCATGGGACAAAGATAGGGAAGGATGAAAAAATTACTTCCTTTGTTGGTGAGGAGAGACAGCATGAATTGGCAAAAATTGCAAGGATATTAAGAACTTCAGAGTAAGAGAGTTTGGAGATGCCAGAATTCAGGATGACTAAAGGTTGCAGAGCTCTTTTTCTAAAGCTTTGGAGAGAGGTGAGAATTCAGCCATACATAGACGTAGGAAAATTAAATGAGGAAGACTCATTTGTTCTTTTAGGTGTCCACTTGGGCTTTTGCTCTGTTTTGCTAACCTTCCAAACCTTAGTGCCTTAAGCAGGAGACATAAAAATGCTATAGAAAATAAAAGTAGCCCATAATCTCAGCCTTCAATTAATATCTGTTGATTTAAAAAAAAAAAAGGCTATTGTTAAAAAATTTTTAGGTAGTATGGAAAGGTATACTGGGACTGAATAGTCATTCTCTCTTCTGATACATACACAGCATTGCTTCATTCCTTTCTTCAGAGATACCCATAGTTAACAGTTTTTATGATTCCTTCCAGAAAACAATTGTGCAAGTATCAGCTATGTGTGCTTATCAGCACATTCTGTTCTTCCTCATTCCTTTTCATATTTGCATAATGACCTGTTGTGTGGATATACTCATTAAATAGTACTCTGTTGTGGGGGCACTTTGGTTGAGGCTAGTGTTTTGCTGTAGAAGCAGTGTGTGAACCTCTGCATATATATCAATGAGATATATTCCTATTAATGGTGAGATTTCTGGGTCAAATTATATGAACATTGAAAATTTTGATATAGTTAAATTCTCCCTCTCCTCCTCCAAAAGGTTACAGCAGTTTTCATTCCTGCCATCACACCTCCTTTCTGAGTATCATAGTTTTTTTCATTTGTGCCCTTCTGATAGGCAATATTGTTAACTTCTGTTTTGTATTTTTGTCTGTTCAGTTAGGAGAGAAATTGAGTGTCTTATGAATTTATTGCCCATTCATGTTTCTTTTTCTGTGAACTGCCAGGTGACTGGTATCTCTGTTATATGTGAGCTTTGTAAGTGAAGGAAGTTAATTCCTTGCTGCTGTCTGGTTGTAAATATTTTTCCTTAATCTTTTATTGGTCATTTTGACTTTTTAATTTTTTTTTTTTTTTTTTTTTTTTTTTTTTTTTTTTTTTTTTTTTGCTACTCTGACTTTTATTTTTGTGGAGTTATGTATATTGAACTTTTTCTTCATGATTTTCGGTCTTCTGCTCTGAACTGACTCCTCCACCTGCTGACAGCAGTGCACACCTCATTGGGCTGTGTGATATCAACTGGGTATAGCTAGCTAGGATAAAAGTAAGGCAGCTGGACCCCAGAAACCCAGGATACTGGACATGTTAGGAGAAGCCACACATTCTTGACAGAGCTAAATCTTAATATGCCTGAGACTGTTTTATGCTTATTGAGTGGAGTTAGACTCAGTAAGTTGGGCAGGGTGTTGAGACTAAAGCATAGAGTGGGAAATGGGGGGTGGGGTTGTATTGGCCCGCCCCACTGAGGAGATACTGTATTTGGTAAATGCCAGGTGGCCAATGAAGTAAAATGGCTTTGGTCTCTTCTTCAGCTGACTCTGAAAGGGATGAGGATGGAGAGTTAGACCAAATGGCTGTGTTTTTATGATTATAGTGAGAAATATGTGAACTTCTAAAACTCTTGGAATTTCCTGAGAGATGGAGGTGCTAGGAATCTTGCTATTTATGATAAATCCATTTCAGCTTTATCTTGAGTTTATGCTAATGAGATGACTTTTGTTTGGCCTCTGGACAACTTCAGCATGGGACTGGTTACCAGAGGAACCAACCTTGTGATTAGAAGGTTAAAGCTTTCAGCCCCATCCCTAGACCTCCAGGGAGGGAAGAGAGGCTTGAGATTGAGTTTAGTCACCATTGGCCAGTGATGTAAGCAATTATGCCCAAGTAATGGAACTTCCTTAACCCCTAAATGACAGGGTTCCAAGAGCTTTTGTTTTAGTGATCACACAGAGGTGCTGGGTGGGAGGTGCAGCAGTAGAGGGCATGAAAGCGCTCCGCTTTTCCTTCTTACCTTGCCCTGTGCATCTCTTCCAGTTGGCTGTTCTTAGGTGGTATCTTTTATAATAAATAGGTAATAGTAAGTAAAGTGCTTTTCTGAGTTCTGTGATTCATTCTAGCAAATTATTGAATCTGAGGAGAGGAGGTGTGGGAACACCCACTTTATAGGTCAGAATAACAGGAGGCCAGGGCTTATGTTTACAGTGGGAGTACTCTTGTAGCACTGAGCCCTTAACCTGTGGGGTCTGACACTAACTCTAGATAGGTAGCATTAGAATCAAACTGAGTTGGTAGACATCCAGTTGGTGTTCTGAGAATTGGGGAATTGGTTGTTGGTGTGGAACAACCCCACCCATTTGGTGTTAGAAGTGTTGTGAGTAAAAATAGCTCAGAAGGGCAGTCCTCCTTTCTGGGTATAATTTTGAACCTGCCTGTTTCTTCTGCTGTAGGTGAAAAGATGACAGTTGTGAAGAGTGGATGGTTGCTGCGACAAAGTAAGTACACGACCATGAGCTCCTTGGTCTCGGTTTACTGTTACCTTAGGACACATCTTTATTTCTGTTGCTGAAACAAATCTATTTAAAAACAAATAGCAAAGTCTTATTAATGTTGTTGCCCTGAGTTTCCTCTTGGAAGTTTTTAGAACTCTTTGAGCTGTTTTTCTGCACAGGGAAGTCCTTGTTAATTGCTGCACTGACAGGAACCCGGGAACAGTGGTACTCCCTGCTAGTTGCTTTTCTCACTAATATGCTTTATTATTAATGGCTGACTGGTGGCCCTGCTTGACTAACCTAGCTGGGCTGATAAATTAGCATGGAGATACTGCTTTCTTTGTGGAAAATACCTGTTTTACCTGGAGATTAAAAAGTGACTGAGATTCTGAAATGCTAGAGTCTTTAATTATAGGGATAAAGATTTGACCTAAGATTATATGTTTATCTAAAACCAAACCTTTTGTACTGTAGTCTCCCTTTATCTGTAGAGGATGTGTTCTAAAATCCCCGGTTGATGCCTAAAACCACAGATGATATCAAACGTTATATATACTATGTTTTTTCCTATATGTATATACACTTTTATGGCTTCTCTTTGGCATATCCGAATTGCTGGCATCACTACTCTTGTGCTTTGGGGCCATTATTAATAAAATAAAGGTCACTTGAACACAAGCACCATGACAGTCAATCTGATAACCAAGACCTCAACTGAGTGACTAATGGATGAGTAGTGTCTACAGCTTGGAGATGCTGGACAAAGAGAAAGTTCATGTCTCAGGTGGAGGGAGCTATACGGTGCGAGATTTCATCACTTTCCTTAGAACAGTGTGTATTTTAAAACTTTTGAATTGTTTATTTCTAGAATTTTTTATTTAATATTTTCAGACCACAGTTAACTGAAACTGGAAAGTAAAACCACGGATAAGGAGGAACTACTATATTGTTTATTATTCAGATGTGAATTTATATTTGAGGGATACCTTCAGAACTTAGTTAAAATGTAGACTAGCAGTGAAAAGTAGATTGCATACCTTAGATGGTTTATAAAAGCTATTACTTGTAGAGCTTGTTTATGTTCTTGTTATGCAGATTTCACATATATTATGTAATTATCACAGCAGCTCTGTGCGGTAGGCACAATTATCCTAGTTACCACTTGAAGAAATTGTCTAGGTGTTAATTATGGGCAGCAAACCTGTGGTCAGACTGAGGACTGTTTCATCTCAGCATTGACTCTATTTCTCCCAGGAGACAAGCCTTCAGCCTGTCTGTTCTACTATTAGTTTTACATCCTTAGACCTGGAGCTGAGCCAAGTGTCCTTTCGAGGTCTGTGACAGTCCTGTATCCTAAGAATAGAATTGTGGTAATGTTGGCTTCATAACATTACAAAAGAAAGTTCTGGCATATTGTAGTCTAGCCCCAATATTTGTGTAAGTTTCCTTGTCCTTGGTTTTGTGATCTCAACCTGCCCAAAATGGCCAGGGGACATGGAAAGCTTTGCTCAGTCTTTGAGAATGTGCCTTTCTTTCTTGGCCCTTTGGATGTCATCTCGTTTTTCCTTTAGACTCTACTGCACCCTTGTTTGAGAGCAGGCTTTCCTTTGTCCACCATAACTCAATTTAATGCTCTATCAACATTCAGTAAACAGTGACCCTTTTGACAATTTTGTGATTCCCATCAGTGCCAACCGTGATGATATATACAAAATAGATGTCCTTTAAACAGATTGTACAGACTTTTCCAATGCCCTGGTTCATGGCTGTCTCAAAAGTATGTGTTCAGAAGACTTATTCCATTTTTCCTTCTCTCCGTTTGTGGGTTGATTTTCTTTCTTTGCTAAAAGCTGAAGTTTCAATCACAATTAAATAAAAGAAGGCAAGATATATTCACTGACTTATAGAGCAGCAGAGATACATATGTAGTTACATGTATGCAAAACTGTCTCCAGGACTCCTTTTTCTGCCATTGCCACATAGACCCTTAGGGTCCAGTATCTGGACTCTAGAGAATAGCCTGATTTGGGAATTTGTAGTCAGGGCTTTGATGGCAGGTGAGATACTTGGTTAAAACTCCCCAACCTGGTGATTCCACATGTCTGTGTCTCGATGGCTCTATTTGGTAGTTACTGCACAGCTCAGGTGCTTCCAATCAAATGGAGGATGCTGGGTGTCACTTATTTATGAGTTTGGGCAAGTGTTGTGGATGCCCCTCTTAGTAAAGAGGGTAAAAGAAATTTGGAAGGCTGACATGTCGCATGTTTGGTTGATACCAGTAGCGGATATGGGAATGTAAGGAAAGGTATGTGGAATGGCCTTTGTGCACATTGGTCAAGAACAAGGTAGGATCTTAAAGGAATAAAAGATGTAGTAGGTAGTGAGTGTATGGATGTGAGAAGGTACAGGGGTGACTTGGAGCTAAAACTGGCCTTTTACTTTTCCCTTTTGGCTAACAAAGAAATTAGAGTTTTATAAAATTAAATACCTAGTTCGATTACAAATGAAAAGATGAATTCTCTCTGACTGATAGAGACATGTGAGGTAGTTGGGTGGATGCATGCAGGGGAAGAGTAAGGCCCTGGGCCTAAAGTCATTTTCCTGGGTGTGGTATATTCATTGTCTGAGCCTGCCTCTGCATCTGCCTCATTCAGGGATACTCTCCCATGCTGTTGGCTTTAAGTGAGGTGAATGTTAGAGAAGAGTATATGTGAAAGCTCTTCAAGAAAAAGAGAAAACATTTTTCTAAGAAAGGAAGGTACTGTTATTTGTGTATAGAGATTTTACAGTTCAACATTTTCTGATCAATCTAGCAAAGTTAGATACTACTGGAAAAGTTTAGGTATATGTACTGTGTGGAAAATTAAATGTTAGACATGTTTCATTGCTCAAAATCAAGGTTTTATTGAACTTTTTTTTTTTTTTTAAGTTTTGGGACTTTTAAGTTGGCAATGTTCTCAGTATCTCCAGCGTGTTGCATGCAGCCCTGGTACAACTGGATATTCATGCCATTGGGGTCTATTTTCACTTTCATTTTGCTAGGCTGCTCTAGGCAGTTGTATGCAAGTATACTCATAGGGCCAGAGGAAAGTTTCCTTTGTTTCTTTTAGTGTGAATGAGGGAACATAGTCCTTGCTCTTATAGATCAAAGCCAACCTATTTTTTTTCAGGTACTATTTTAAAGCGCTGGAAGAAGAATTGGTTTGACCTGTGGTCAGATGGTCACCTGATCTATTATGATGACCACACTCGGCAGAGTGTTGAGGATAAGGTCCATATGCCAGTGGACTGCATCAACATCCGCACAGGGCATGAATGTCGGGGTAAGAAGCTCTGTCTTGGGTCAGTTTCATCTACCCTTCCCCATTCTTGATGGGAATTGAATCCTCTGCCTCACCCATTCTGCTTTGATTAACAGACCAAGGAAAGGTTTCACGTGGGAAGAGGTAACCACAGTGAGGACCTAGACACTTAAATCATGAACCATATGGTTAGAGCAAATTAATCTTCTCATCTGAATTAGACCCACAGGTCCACATTCCGTCCTGGTTCATGGAGAAGGTGGTAGAGAACTAAGGAACCAGAGTGCTGGAAACTCCGAGAAAGATAGAACCATACTAGGCAGCATAAATTTTGTATCTCAGAAACTGGCATTCATAACAACCCCAGTCAGTTTCTTAAAATTTGTGATGTCTTGGTTTCCTGGAATTTTCTCTTATATTCATTTTAAAGGAATAGGTTTCTAACAAGCTTTTGATAGACTTTTCTAAGTAATGGCATATGTAGACCTTCCCTGTTTGTTTTATTAGCCCCATTGCTATTTGAAATAGAGAGTCTGGTTTAGTAAGCATTGATGTTAACACTACTGTAACCATTAAACATCCTGCCCCTACATATAAGTTCTTGAAACAAAAGTCTCCATGGACCAGCTGTTGAAGTCCCTACCTAAACTAGGCTTGATGCCAGAGAGCTCAACAAGGTGGGAGTCCAAAGAGGAACACCGACTTGGAGCTCCGGTGACCAGGTTCTTGTATTATGCCGCAAGAAAGAATTCAAGGACACGACAAACAGCAAGCAGGAAAGTGCAAATTTTATTAAAGTAGAAGTACATACTTAAAAGAAAAGTTGGCAAAATTGGAGAGCGAGTTACCTCAAGCTGTCTGTTTTCTTGGGAGTTGGGGTGGCAGAGGTGGTACTTGTAATTTAGGTGCTATAAAGATATGATTAGCCAAAGCTGAACAAAAGATAAGGGAAAGACTCTGGGAGCCTTATCCTGGAGGAGAGGGGATGTCCCAGGGCAGCTATCCCCAACCCCCAGGCCACATATCGGTACCAGTCCATGGCCTGTTAGGAACCGGTCCACACGGTAGGAGGTAAGCAGCTGGCAAGCCAGCGAAGCTTCATCTGTATTTGCAGCCACTCCCCAGCACTAGCATCACCGCCTCAGCTCCATCTCAGATCATCAGGCATTAGATTCTCATAGGAGCACTGGTCCCTGGTGCCAGAAAGATTGGGGACCGCTGTCCCAAGGCTATCCATCTTGCCTCCTGGTTCTAGCTTGTTTCTCATGCCACCTGGAAGGGAGAGGGTAGCTCAAGGCCATCTATCCTGTTTCCTGGCCTGTTTCTCACGGAGTCAAAATAGGGAGAAGTCTGAGTAAGGGACAAAGGAAAAATTCTGGGGCCATATCTTAGAGGGGACGGGGAAACATCAGTAGGCTAACTCTCTTGCTTCAGGCTCAAGTATCATCACAATTCTTATTTTTTGGTGTACAGAGATACTTTAAAAATCTGATTTTTACTTTTAAAGCAGTGATCTAATTTGATGCTTCCTGTGAGTAAAAACAGTAAATATTCTGTTATTTTATGCTTTATAACATTTTTCATTGTGTGCGGCTTATTCTTCTAATGTCTGGGCTATTCTGTACATCTCTGTATGTGCATTGTTCTCTAGAAGAGGCCTACTTGTTCTCCCTGTAGGAAGTTTAATTAAAATGGAGCTGTGATTCATGTGTTTGGTTCTGTAGAGCAGAACAAAATGTTTTATAATTGGAATGTTCTGAATTAGTGGTCCTTTGCCCTTCTGAACTGTAAGAAGAAATCCTTAAAAAAACCTATTTAAATATTTCTGTATTCTATTTATTTTTTATAGATATTCAGCCTCCAGATGGGAAGCCAAAAGACTGCATGTTGCAAATTGTTTGCCGAGATGGAAAAACTATCAGTCTTTGTGCAGAAAGCATGGATGATTGTTTGTAAGTTTTTTTAAGTGTTTGATTTAAAACATATTTTCTGCTTTATTTTCCATTTATCAGGAAGGGAAAAGAATGAAAGTAGAGTTTTCCTCAGGCCTCAGAATAAGTGACTCAGAGGATGTGTGAAAGAAATGTAATGGAGTCTTATTCCATTTCTTATAACTTTGATCCTGGTTTCTGCCTCTCCAGAGCTGCCCAAACAGGATCCCAACTTATTAAGAACGGCAGAAAGTATTAACATACAGTCACTTTGTACTTTTTTTTTCATTGCTGGATGCACATTGGGTAATGGATATAATTGAATGGGTTTTTTAATCTTGTTCTTTTTTATGTAACTGTATTTTATTTTATTTATTTTGTAACTGTCTTTTTAAAAGGCATTAAATCTGTATTATGGAGCCTTCTCCTTCCTTTGATGGCTTTTACTCCTTTCTGCCATCTCTGACAAAGGGATGCGGAGCTGCAAGGAATAAAACTCAACTTTATTAATTCTCAGCCTGTTAACATTGGCATTGATGTTGGATCAGAACCTTGAAAACACTGATTGACATTTGGGGAGAATAATTTTTTTTTTCTATTCACTCTGTACTACTACCATGTGTTAATTCTGGATGTTGTGAGTTCACTAACAGATGCTGTTATAATATTCATATACATTAAAATATATATACATGGCATTTTCATAAAATCTAGTAGACCAGTTTGTCAGAGTGCCTGCCCCTGCATTTCACATACATGTTCATCTTCAATATAAGCATTCTATGTTAAACTCTAGCGTTTATTTTAAATTTCAGATGTTGCTTCTTTCTTTCACTCTTGTGATTTATATTAATGAATCTTAAATGATAATTTCTGGAAGAGATATGGCTTTTCTAAAGACTAGAGGAGAAATGACCGTATGTCAAACCAATTCACTACTTTTTTATGAACTGGAACTGTATTACCATTTAATAATTTATGTTGTCAATGAGAAGAAACACTGAATATCTGAAAATATTAGAAAGATTTTTATTTAGGGCCTTCCTGAGGACTATATAGCCTGAAAGCAGAGCTTCAAGAAGCCTTGAAACAGTGCTCTAACTTTGGAAAAGTGAAGGTTGCTTAAATAGAGGAATAAGCAAAAAGTACATCTGGTGTCAGAAGTTTCCATGATTAACAGTTTTACATCGAATAAATGGAATGTGCAAGAAAGCTAAGGTTGGCTCATTGTGTCCCCTGGCATCAGGAAGTCTGAGGATAGGGTCTAGTAAGAATTAAACTGCTTCAGAACTCCTTGAGGTGAATTTTTATCAGGATGTAGAAAGAACAGGCACTGTTTTCTATAATCATTGACCTTTAGTGTTGAAAACTGTAGAAGATATAATATGTGCTTACTCCCATGGTTTGTGCCTTGGTGAGGAATTTTAGGGAGGTTCATTGTTATCTCTTGGTTACTGATTAAGTCAGAGAAGCTGAAGCACCCTTTCTTTTCTCAAAGCTTATGTATATTGAGTACTTAACTCTGCACTAGACACTGTTTTAATTGCTTAACATATGTTATTTAATCCTTACCATGTCTTATAAGGTGGGTACTATTCCTATTGTTACAAGAAATTGAGGCATAGTGAGGTTAAGTAACTTCCTGTATCAGTTTTTTGATGCCCCTGTAGTAAATTATCATAGGCTTAGTGACTTCAAACAATATCAATTTACGATTAAATTTCTGGAGGTCAGAAGTCCAATAGGGGTCTCCCTGGGTCTTAGAGTAGGGCTCTGTCCCTTCTGGAGGCTCTGGGGAGGGTCTGTTTCTTGCCTTTTCCAGCTTCTAGAGATTGCTTACATTCCTTGGGTTCTGGGCTGTGCCCTTCTCATGCCATCATCTCTTTGGTTCTCTGCAGCTTCAGAAAGTTATGTGCTTTTAAGGACTCATGAATAGTTTGGGTCAACCTGGGTAATCCAGGAAAATGTCCTGATCTCAAGGTCCTTAACCTTAATTATAGCTGCAGAGTCCCTTTGCCCTGTGATGTAACACAGTCACAGGTTCCGGGGATTAGGACATGGATATCTTTGTGAGGAGGGGACATAATTTTGCTTACCATACTTCCCAAGGTTTTAGAGCTAGGAGACTAGACTCAGATTTGAACCTTGTCTCCCGAGTCCTTTGTCCCTAACTGCTCTGTTCTACTCTATGCCAAGATGTCATGTATATGAAATGTTCATAAGTAGTAGTGGAAAAAATATCTGAAACTAAAATTTTAGAGTATTTTAACAAAGTGTGAGAGGTTTTGACATAAAAGAGGGAGAAGTAGTAAAAATATCTTGAAGGACTTACCTTGTTTTGCCTGGAAAAAGTCAGATGAGGCTGACTTTTTCTTCACCTATATGGGAAAATGGAGGTTTATATATGTGTCTAATTTTAAGTACATGTTAGGAAAGATAGCAATGGAAGATAAAAAGCTAGAAGATAAAAAGTTAGAAGAATAAAAAGGAATAGAAAACATTCCTCATAAAAAAATAAAATAGCAGGAAAACTTAATGCGTGACAGGAAATGAACTAAACCAATTAAACCAATGATATTGATGCTTGCAGTAAATATGAATTGGTTAAATTCATCTTAAAAAGAATAAGACCTTGCTGGACTGAAGGTGTTTCCTTGCTGCGGCAGTGTATGAACTGTGGCAGAGTACGAACTGCGGCAATTCAGTTCATGGCAGGACAGGCAGTTAGAAAGTTTGTTCCTCTCTTTGATTAAGTATTACTTGAAAGGAGTGCTGCCAAAACTAGCCAAAGAAAACATTATGCTTCCAGAAAAACTTCAGGAAAAGTATTGCAGGCAACATTAGTAGCTGTTGGATCGGGCTCTAAAAGATAGGGTGGGGAGATTCAACCAGTTAGCATGAATCTCTCCAGAATATGGAGGCAAAGTTGTTCTAGATGACAAAGATTATTTCTTATTTAGAGATGGCGACATTCTTGGAAAGTATGTAGATGGAAATAAATCACTATTCAAATCACATCTCATGAAGAGTATATATAATTTCCACATCTCTTTCATATATATAATTTCCATGTCTCTTTTATAATAAACTAATTATATCTAAATTAAAAAAATAAAAATAGACTAGGATCTGAGATTGGGCACGAAATACAAAGTCTAGCTACAAATTCTGTTGATAAGCACACTTGAAATAAAATGACACAGAAAGGTAAAAAAGTGAAGAATAGGAAACTGTTAGTTTCATGTGGCCGCTGTAACAAAGTGCCACAAACTGGGTGACTTAAAACAACAGAAATTTATTCTCTCTCAGTTCTGGAAGCTAGAAGTCTGAAATCAATATGTCAGCAACTTAAAACAACAGAAATTTATTCTCTCACAGTTCTGGAAGCTAGAAGTCTGAAATCAATATGTCAGCAGAGCCATGCTTCTTCTGAGTCTCTGGGTAGGATCCCTCCTTGCCTCTTTCCTGTGATCCTTGGTGTTTCTTGGCTTGCAGTTGCATCATTCCATTCTCTGCCTCTATTGTAACATGGCATTATCCCTGCGTGTCTGTGTCTAAATTTCCTCTTCTTATAAGGATACCAATGATATTAGAGTAAGGACCCACCTTAATTCAGTATGACCTCATCTTAATTTGATTCCATCTGCAAAAACCTATTTCTAAATAATTTACAGGACTGGGGATCAGGAGTTGATCTTTTGTCAGGAGACACAGTTCAGCCCATAACAGAGACCACTGAGTAAAAATGTTGAAATGGATCCAGATCTATTTTCTCAACTACCTAGTGAAATGAATGGAAAATATTTTAGCAGCAATAGCCAAATAAAGAAATTCAACTTAAAGCACAGACTACAGAGAATGACAGCCAAAGAAAGAATTATAAAATTCTGTTGAGATGTATCACTGTTTTTAACCTACCCCAACTCCCAGAAGCAGTAACAAGATGAGTTAATTAAATCTTGCAATTTTTGGTAATACTCTGCAGTCTTGAGGGATGCTGAGATTAAGGGAGTAATGTACTTTTTGGAAAAGCTAAGGAAAACCCTTTGAGAATATGATGATATCCTTGGGCCCTCAGCAAAAACTGGAAGATTCCCCAGGGGTTGTCATTCCAGAGCACTAGAAGGCATTGAAGCTCACAGGAGTAAGATAATTCTCTGGTTGGTTGGCATGAGACAGTCAAAGGAATATGCTCAGAGGGGTATAGAACCCAGATTTTTCAGAACACACTTACTCAGTCCCATAAGAAAATTTCTTTTCTCTCATCCTTATGCCCTCAGGTTACAGAAACATGATTGAGGGTAACATCTTTGTCACCAAACCTGTTGCTAGAGTCGAGTGAGCTGGGGCTACCAATTGATGCCAGACTAGGTAGGGAGAATGTCAAGAAAATATGCCACATACCAAGTCAGAGCAAAGAGAAGTTTTGGATATCACTTCCCATGTTAAACATGAGAATTAGCTTGGCAGATATGCAAATATAAAGGAAAATAAAAGGAAAATGCAAGTCTCAGATAGAGCTTCTAGTCTGTAGGAAAATAAAACCTAAGAAATAAGTGGATTTTCCAAAATGCTTTTTTGGCTGCCATATTTAAAATTATAATTCACATTGCACCATATACACACATACATGCTTACCATCTAACCAACTGTTTATCTTGTTTTTCATCTCCTTTCATTAGAACTTAAACTGCATGAGAGTAGGTATTTATGTTTCTTTTGTGCCCTTTTGCATTTCTATAGCCAAGAAGGCCTGTCATGGGGTATACATTACTGTTAATTTTATAATATAATGTAAAAGAGTAAATCTTATACCCCTTTCCTGGGGTACAAGCTCAACTGAAAACAATTGCTGGCATGGAGGAAAGACTTGACATACTTTTAGTGACTGCAGGGGAAAAAGGTCAAAGAATTTACAGAAAAGATCAGATCTATGTTAGAAAGACTAAAAGAGTTTATCAGAAAGATTATCGATGTCTGGAAAGAATACAGCACAAAAAGGTAGATAGTAATTTAATGCAAGGCATTTTGTGAAATTCTAGAACTAAATTTGCAGAGGAAATGCCGTACTAAACTCTCCCACCTGAAACAGTAACAACAAAAAAATCCAGATACAATTTGTGAACAATCCAATATGATACCCTCTAACAAAATTTAAAAAGCTTTTAACTCAAAATTATAGGAAAATGACAATAAAATGTAAAAGGAACTGATAAAGAGAAATGGAGAGTAAGAAAGAAAGGTGAAGGGATGAAGGAGGGAGGGAGATCAGAAAATTCATGAGAGTGAAGATTTAGGTATCTAGTTTTTGTGATCATGCAGGGGAAAGTGATCATGCAGGAATAGAATTTGTTCCAACCTTTTTCCAGGGCCATTGGCAGTACCACTGAAATAAATTGTATTAGTATCTCTTGACCCACCTGTTTCACTCTTTGGAATGTGTCTTTAGAATTGTTTACATAAGGATACAGATGTAATAAGGATGCTAACAGATGCATTATTTTTATGTATGTGCATGAAAACCCAAACCCAAAGCTAACATCATCTTCAACAGTGAAAGACTGAAAACCTTTCCTCTGAGAACAGAAACAAGACATGGGTGCCTGATCTCACCTCTTTTATTCAACATAGTGCTGGAAGTCTTAGCCACAGCATCAGGCAAGAAAAGCAAATAAGATATCCAATTCAGTTCCCTTTATGGGAAGGGAGGAAATATAATTGTCTCTATTTACAGATGATATCATATATATGTATATATATGAAACTCTAAAGATTCTACCAGAAGTTCTTAGAACTAATAAATTGAGTAAAGCTGCAGGACACAAAATCAACATACTCAGGAATAAATTTAATCAAGAAGGTGAAAGATCTACACTGAAAATTACAAGATACTGGCGAAAGAAATTGAAGATAGAAACAACTGGAAAGATGTCCCATGTTCGTGGATTGGAATAATTAATATGGTTACAATGTCCATACTAACCAAAGCCTCTGTAGATTCAATGCAATTCCTATTAAAATTTCAATGGCATTTTTCGCAGAAATAGAAAAAACAATCCTAAAATTAGTGTGGAATTACAAAAGACCCCGAACAGCGAAAGCGATCTTGAGAAAGAACAAAGCCAGAGAGATCCACTTCCTGATTTCAGACTTTTATTACAAAGCTGTAGTAATTAAAACATTATGGTTTTGGCATAAAAATAGACACATAGACCGATGGAACAGAATCGAGAGCCCAAAAATACACATATGTGTATATGATCAACTAATATTTGACAAGGGAACCAAGAATGCTCAATAGGAAAAGGATAATCTCTTCAATAAGTGGTGTTGGGAAAACTGGATATTCACATGCAAAATAATGAAATTGGACCTATATTTTAGGCCACTCATGAAAATAAACTCGAAATGGAATAAAGACTTAACCATAAGACCCTAAACTGTAAAACTATTAGAAGAAAACATTAGGGAGGAAGGTCTTTGTCATTAGTCTTGGCAGTGATTTTTTGGATATAACACCAAAAGCATGAGCAACAAAAGCAAAAGTAAACAAGCAGAACTACACCAAAATAAAAAGCCGCAGCACAGCAAAAGAAACAATTAGAAAAATGAAAAAATATCTACAGAATGGGAAAAAATTTGTAAATTATGTGATGAGGGGTTAATATCCAAAATATTTAAGGAACTCGTACAACTCCGTAGCAAAAAACAATCCAGTTTAAAAATGAACAAAGGACTTGAATAGATGTTTTTCAGAAGAAGACAACAAGTACACGTAAAGGTGCTTGCCATCACTAATTATCAGGGAAATGCAAATCAGAACCATGGTGAGATCACCTTATACCTCATAGAATGGCTATTTTCAAAAGACAAAAGATAAGTGTTGGTGAAGATGTAGAGAAATGGGAACTCCGGTGCATTGTTGGTGAGAATGTAAGGTGAGCATGTAAATTATGGTGGTTCCTCTAAAAAAGATTAAAAATAGAACTACCATATGATCCAGCAATCCCATCTGGGTATATGTCCAAAGGAAATCAGATTATTATCTCAAATAGATATTTGCACCCCTGTGTTCATTACAGCATTATTCACTGTAGCCAAGACATGGAAACAACCTAAGTGTCTGGTCATGGTGTATATACACACACAATGGAATATTCTTTCATTCCAGCAATTAAAAAGAAGGAGATCCTGCTTTTTGCAACAGGATGGATGAAACTTGAGGGCATTATGTTTAGTGAGGAAGACAAATATTGTATGTTCTTATTTATATGTAAAATCTAAAAGAGCTGAACTCATAGAAGTAGAGAGTAGAATGGTGGTTGCCTGGGGCTGGGAGTTATGGGACATGGGGACATATTGGTCAAAGGGTACAAACTTCTAGCTATAAGATGAGTTTCTGGGCATCTAATGTATAGCATGGAGACTACAATTAACAGTGCTATATTATATACTTGAAAATTAAGAGAGTATATCTTAAATGTTATCACCAGAAAAAAAAATTATGTGACGGGATGGAGGTGTTAACTTATTGTGGTAATCATTTCGCAATGTATGTATATCATGATCACATTGTACACCTTAAACTTAGGTATGTTGTATGTCAGTTTCTTAAGCTGGCAAAAAAACAAAAAAAACCAGCATTATTATTTTTTAAAATAAATGTATTGGGGTGACATTGGTTAATAAAATTATATAGGTTTCAAGTGTACAGCTCAGTAATACATCATCTGTATATTGTATCATGTGTTTACCAACCAAAATCAAATCTTCCATCACCATATATTTGACCCCCTTTACCCTTATCTACCTCTCTCTCTCCCCGTTCCCCTGCAGGTAACCACTAAACTTGTCTGTGTCTGTGAGTTTTTGTCTTGTTTGTTTGTTGCTTTCAGTTTTATATTTCACACGAGTGAGATCATATGGTTCTCAGCTTTTTCTGTTTGACTTTTTTTGCTTAGCTTGATAATCTTAGGAGCTATCAATGTCGCAAATGTCAATATTTCATCTTATGGTCGAGTAATATTCCATTGTATATATGCACCACATCTTCTTTATCCAGTCATCTATCAAGGGACATTTTGGTTGTTTCCATGTCTTGGCTGCCGTGAATAGTGCTGCAGTGAACGCTGGAGTGCGTATATCTTTATGGATAAATGTTTTCAAATTTTGGGGGTAGATACCCAGAAGAGGGACTGCTGGATCACATAGTAATTTTATTCTTAATTTCTTGAGGAACCTCCATACCGTTTTCCATCGTAGCTATGCCAATTTACATTTCCACCAGTAGTATATGAGAGTTCATTTTCCCTGACAACCTCTCCACCACTTGTTATTACTCGTCTTGTTGATAATAGCCGTTCTTACAGGTGTGAGGTGGTATCCCATTGTGATTTGGATTTACATTTCCCTAATAGCTGGTGAATCTTTCCCTCCCTATGTCTGTTGGCCATTTGTATGTCTTGGGAGACGTGTCTGTTCAGGTCCTCTGCCCATTTTTTAATTGGATTTTTTTGTTGTGGTTGTTATTGTTGAGTTGTATGAGTTCTTTGTATATTTTGGATATTAGCCCCTTATTGGAGGCATTGTTTGCAAGTATCTCCCATTTGGGTTGCCTTATTGTTTTGTTGATGGTTTCTTTTGCTTCGCAGAAGCTTTTTAGTTTGGTATAGTCTCATTCATTTACTTTTGTTTTTACTTCCCTTGCCTTTGAGGTCAAATTCATAAAATATTCTCTAAATCTAAGGTCCATGAGTTTAGTACTTATGTTTTCTTCTATACAATTTATCGTTTCAGGTCTTAGTATATATAAAACTTTGGTCTACTTTGAGTTAATTTTGGTATATGCTGACATAAAGCAGTTTTGTTTCATTCTTTTGCATGTGGCTTTCTAATTTTCCCACTATTTTCCCATTTATTGAAGAGACTTTCTTTTTCTCCATTGTATGTTTTTGGCTCCTTTGTCGAAAATTATTTGCCCGTATATATGTGGGTTTATTTCTGGGCTCTCAATTCTGTTTCATTGGTTAGTGTGTCTTTTTTTTTTCTTCTACCAATACTTACTAGCATTAATTTTAACTGCAAAAAATTGCCTAGTCTGTATCTCATATCATGAAACATTATGTAGCCATTAAAAAATGAAGTAGATCTGTGTGTATGACATGAACTAATAAAGCAAGTTGCTGTATAATTAAGTATGGTACGCTTTACATTTATTAAGAAGTAAAGCAAGCTGTGTAGTATAGATTATGCTATACATATTATATATAATATATAATATAGATATATTTTTCACATGTTATATATTTCTAGTGCATGTCTCAAATAAGTTGATCATGTGGATCTTGGGTCAAGGACTGAACAGCTATTTTCAAAAACAACCTTTCTCAGAAATTCTGATGCCAACATATATTTGAGAATTAGTAAGATATATTTTGGATTGCTACAAATAAAGTACCCCTTTCTCTTTTCTCCAGGGCCTGGAAATTTACACTCCAGGATTCCAGGACTAACACAGTAAGTTGATAATGGCAACCACCAGTCGTGTTTTCATGGTCTTGCTATAACAAATAGGAGAATAGAAGATTAGGAAAGGGAAATGGGGAAGATGGGCATCTTGGCCATCCAGCCATTGATGAGCCAGCAGAACTGGGCAGGGTGCCTTTCCCTGACAGTGAGCAAACTAGACTTTGCCAAATATTTTGGCATGAGGAGCCCTTCTAACAGAGGCACACTGATTCCATTGTTTTTTTGTTTTTTTGTTTTTTCTAAAAAATGTTTGTATTGCACAAAGATTTATAACACTTTGAATTCTGCTGTGGTTCACAGAGAAGGCCCAGAAAGGAACACAGGGTCCTTTTTATGCATCCCATCTCAGCCTTGTGAAACAAACATGTCTGGGACTTGTACTTGCCTCTAGTTCTGCTTCTGACCTTAAGAGGTTGCTGAAATAGTCAACTCTATTTGTAAAGACTAATAATGTCATCTTTGTGTCTGTCAGGGAATCAAGGCAACTTCTCTGCCATCAACATTATTATTCTTCAGATAGGATTTTAGTTTTTTTCTTTTTTCTCTTTAGGAAGAAAAAAAAAGGTTGATGGAACTTATAAAAGAATTTGTACAGGTGGGAAGAGAAAATAAAAAAGACTACTATACAAATGTCATTGTTTCCTACTCTTGTTAGCCCAGGACATTTCTCCCTCAAATTTACTCTATGGTTACCTTTTCTTTCATGAACATCCTTTTTTTTGGATGAAATTAGTACTAATGATCCATATAGTTAGGGGCAAGATGCCAAGATGATTCTTTTTATGGATTTTAAAAAAATAATGCATATAATTTTCTTTTTTTCCATTGGTAAGTAATTTAAAGAAGGATTTTTTTAAATGCAAAAAACATACTGTGTGTACAGTGTATCTTTGCTACATTTCAGATTATAGGATTTTTATTTGTGAAGGGTTGAGAGTGGTGTAACATCTTTTAAAAGGCCTGGGTAATAGTGGAAGCTCTGTGGCCTTTTTGGGCCTGAGAACTCTGCTCCTGCCATGTACTGGTGGCTGAGGATGACCACTTCCTCCTGAATTAAAGAACACCAGAATGCAGGGTGGTGAAGTGGGGAGGGATATTCCTTCTGCCATTCACTGCTTCTCAGAGAGCTGTTGTATTTGCTGTTCAAAGATTAAATTTTTGGCTATAAATAAAAAAGATATATATAAATCATAAAGGCCTATAGTTGTTCTGTGGTGACTCTCTTTTATACCTTCTCTCCTCTTAATAGGCTTATGTTGGCTCAAAAGTCACGTATGATGACACAGCTGTGGCTTCTTCCCCACCTCCTTATACAGCCTATGTGGCACCAAACCCTGAGGTAGGAGCAAATCTTCACATTATAGAATGTAAATGAGGAGAAGTTGGAGTCTCTGTTCTACTGTCCTTTTAAAAAATAATAAAAATTGAGGGAGATCTTTGGAAACACGGCAGAGTAAGAGACATCCTCAGATCTCTCCCCTTGAAACAACAATAAGCTGAACTTCTAAAACTCAACAAAAGACACCCGAACTGCACACCAGCACGTCAGAATGTGGTATCTGTGCATAAGAACTCCAGGTGTTGGGCGGTGGACTGGTAGTAATAAGGAAGCTGCCTCTCTCAGCCACTGGAGCTCCCTGCAGGAGGAGGGGGAGGAAAGAAGGAGTGTCAAGTTCCTGCAGCGAGTTCCCTGAACATTCCTGCCTGGGATAGTTGTGGCTGCAGGGCCCAGTCATCAGGGCAGAAAGCAGAAAAGTGGGACAGGACTGCAGAGGAACAACAGCTGATTTTTGCCGACTGCGGTTGTAAAACTGAGGCTGAGCCGCACCCCATTCCCAATCCCAAACCCAGAGGTCCTCTTTCCCCATATTGTCTGAAACCCATCACCGCAGAGCCCCAGGGGAACTGGAGCAAACACTGCCGAAACTGTCACTGATATTGACAGGGACTGAAACTTAAGGCAGCGAGCGTAATTAAATATTGACAAGAAAATGTAAAAATCCTTGTTAAGACTTTATGTAAAGCAGGGATCCAAAAGGCTTAGACGCCACCTACTGGAAACCAAAAGAAAAGCACCTTCTTTGCAACAGGCTAAAGAGAGACATTTATATAATAAATCTTCTTTCTGGAAAAATAGCAGAATGCTCTTTCATTAATCCTCAGGTGGTGAAATAGTCCATTAAACACCATGAACAACTAGGGTGACAAGACATCTGAGAAAGAAAGAGAAAAATCATCAGAAAATAAGCTTACAGACATAGAAATATGCAACTTAAATGACAGAATTCAGGATGGTACTTCTGAAAAAACAAAATGAGATCCAAAAAAATTCTTATCAACAATTTCAGGAATTGAAATAAAAACTCGATGAGCAGAGCACGGACATTGAAACCCTCAAAAAGAACCAAATAGAACTTCTGGAGATGAAGAACACACTGCAAGAGTTGAAAAATAAAATACCAAGCTTAGGAAATAGAGTTGACCAAATGGAGGAAAGGATCAGTGTTATTGAAGACAGAAATCTAGAAATAAATCAGAAGGAAGAAGAAATCGAAGAATGAAAAATAATGAAAAAAATTCAAGAACTAGCTGATACCATCAGGAGAGGAAACAAATTGGCATTATCAAAGGTGAGGAAAAGGAACAGGGATTAGAAAGCATTTTCAGTTAAATAGTTGACGAGAATTTCCCAAATCTAAGCAATGAGTTTGGAGCTTGGAATTCAAAAAGTCAGCAGAACACCCAATTATCTTAACCCCAAAATGCCTTCATCAAGACACATTGTATTAAAATTATCAAAAATCAGTGACAAAGACAGAATTCTTAATGCTCTCAGGGAGAAAAAAATGGTTACTTATAAAGGAAAAACCATTAGATTATCCTCGGACTTAGTGCAAACCTTACAAGCTAGAAAGGAATAGAATGAAATATTTAAACTATTAAGTGAAAGAAACTACTAGCCTAGACTAATGTATCTAGCTAAGCTTTCCTTTAGATATGAATGAAAAATTAAGAGTTTTCCAGAAGTAGAAAAATTGAGAGAATTCTCCACTACGAGGCCTGCACTATAGGAAGTACTGAAAGAGGTCAGTTCACCTGAAACAAAATGACAAAAAAATAATACATAATTAGGAGAAAAGTGACTATAGGGTAAATAGAAGCAGAGGAGTGCAACTTTTACTAAGAACGGCATTATAAGCTTAATGAGAAAAGAATTGTTATGACAAGATAGTAATGAATGTTCATCATACATAGGAACAAATTGAGAGAACAATGACTGAAAAAGGGTATTCAAAGATTCACATTTGTAAAGAGGAGTAGAGATAAGGCATGTACAGAAGAAAATGGACAACTATATATAACTGTCCTTTACATATTCATAATGGTAACCACACACCAAAGATTTAGAACTGTTGTATATAACGTAAAACAAGGACCAGAGAGAAAACCCAGAAAAGCCAACCAAAATAAATCAGAAACACAAGGAGAAGGAAGCAATGGAAACACCGAGCTACCAGAAAGCAAAACATAAAATGGCTATAAGAAGACCTCATATTTCAATAATTACCCTAAATGGCTGAACTCACCAATAAAAGGCAAAGAGTTGCAGAATGGATCAGAAAATAAAACCCAACTATATGCTGCCTTCAGGAGACACATCTCAGCTCCAAAGACAAATATAGACTCAAAGTGAAAGGGTGGAAAATGATATTTCAAGCAAATGGCATTCAGAGAAAAGCGGGAGTAGTGGTATGAATATCAGACGGAATAGACTTCTAAATAAAGTTAAAGATACTGAGGGACACTTCATAATGAGAAAGGGAATCATGCACCAAGAAGACATAATACTTATTAATATCTATGTTCCCAATCCCAGAGCCGCAAAATATGTAAAGCAATTACTAACAGAACTAAAGAGAGAACAGACAAAACACTGTCATAGTAGGGGACCTAAATACCGCACTGTTGGATATGGACAGATCATCCAATCTGAAAATAAGGAAATAACATCCTTAAATGACACATTAGACCAACTGGACATAATTGATATTTACAGAGCCTTTCATCCCAGAACAGCTGCTTAGCCATTCTTCTTTAGTGCACGTGGAACATTCCCAAGAATCGAATACATATTAGACATAGAGATAGCCTCAACAAATATAAGAGGGTTGAAATTATACCAACCATATTCTCTGATCATAATGCTTTGAACTAGAGATCAACTACAGAAAGAAATCAGGAAGAACCACAAATACATGGAGATTAAACATTCTACTGAAGAATAACTGGGTCAGAGAATAAATAAAAAGAGATCAAGAGATACATAGAAATGAATGATAATGATAGTACAACATATCAAAACTTTTGGGATATGGCAAAAGCGGTCATAAGAGGAAAGTTCATATCATTACAGGCCTGCCTACCTCCGAAAACAAGAACTAGCCTAAATAAACAATGTGACGCTTCATCTTAAAAATTTGGAAAAGGAAGAACAAATGAGGCCTAAAGTTAGCAGAAGGAAAAAAATAATCAAAATTAGAGCAGAAATTCGAGCAGAAATAAATGAGATTGAAAATGTAAACACTATAGAAAAAAGCAACAAAGAGCTGGTTCTTTGAGAAGGTTAATAAAATTGACAACCTCCTGGCTAGACTCACTAAAGAACAAAAAGAAAAGACACAGATAAAGTCAGGGATGAAGAGGGGGAAATTACGACTGACACCACAGAAACACAAAGGATCATACATGAATACTATGAAAAAGTATATAATACCCAATTTAATAACCTAGAAAAAATGGAACACTACTTAGAAAATACAACTTTCCTAGACTGAATCAAGAAGAACTTGAAAATCTAATTAGATCGATCAGCAGTATGGAAATTGAAACAATCATCAAAAACTTACCAAAAAGTAAAAGTCCAGGACCAGATGGCTTCACCAGTGAATTCTGTCAAACATTCAAAGAAGATTTAATACCTATTCTCCTCAAGCTCTTCCAAAAAATCGAAGAGGTGGCAATACTTCCCAACACATTTTGTGAGGCCAATATTACTCTGATTCCAAAACGTGGTAAAGATAACACAAAAAAAGAAAACTACAGACCGGTATCTTTCATGGACACAGATGCAAAAATCCTAAATAAGATACTAGCGAACCGAATACAGCAACCTATTGAAAAGATTATGCACTACGATCAAGTGGGCTTTATCCCAGGGGCACAGGGATGGTTCAACATACGCAAATCAATTAATGTGATACACCACACAAACAAATTAAAAAATAATCATATTTTATACCAGATGCGGAAAAAGCCTTTGAGAAGATACAGCATCCAAAATATACAAAGAACTCGAACAACTCAATAGCAACGAAAATTAAATGATCCAATCGAAAAATAGGCAGAGGACCTGAACAGACACTTCTCCCTAGAGGACATACAAATGGACAACAAATACATGAAAAGATGCTCAATACCACTAGCTATTAGGGAAATGCTAATCAAAACAACAATGAGGTACCATCTCACACCTGTTAGCTATAATCAACAGGACAAGTACTAACAATTGTTGGAGAGGATGTGGAGAAAAAGGAAACCTATAAAGTGCTGGTGGGACTACAAATTGGTACAGCCAC